CCCCCTACCATGGCAAAAAAAAAATAAATCAAGTCATGATACCCATACTTCCAAACTTAGAAGATGATATCATTTGAAAGTAGCCCTCCTGTCCTTGCTAATCAAAGCTTCACATTCATTCCAATGGGCCAGATTTAGGTTAGGAAATCATCAGATTATAACCTGAGGCCACTGACAAGGAGAATTATTCATTACACTGATGGAGTCACTCTTGACCATAGGGAGTAATGGAATTCTAGAAGACTCTATCTGAAATCGACCTCAGGTCACATCTCTTCTCTGCTTAATGGATGAGTCCCATCTAAAGCATCACTGACAATTAGTCACCAGCATCCAGTTTAACATTGCCAGCGATAATGAGGTAGCCAGTTCTGCTGCTGGACAGCTCCGACTAGCAGGAAGATATTCCTTGCAATGATTTGAAACCTGCCTTAGAACTCTGGACCACTGATCTTGGTTCTCCTCTCTGCAGGGATAGAGAACAAATCTAATCCCATTTCCTTGTGTAACAGCCTTTTGTATATCAGAAGGCAGTGATTATGACCCAGCTAAGTCTTCTTCAAGCTAAACATTTAATTCATTTAATTAATAAACAGTTATTAAGTACCTGCTGTATATAGAACACTGTTTAAAAATATTTCGTTTTCCCCCAATTACAAGTAAAAACATTTTTAAACATTTATTTAAGTTCCAAATTCTGTCCCTCTCTGTTTCCCCTCTTCCCTTCCTGAGATGGTAACCAATCTGATATAGGTTATATGTGTGCAATCATGTAAAATATATTTCCATATTAGTCATTTTGTGAAAGAAAACTCAAACCAAAGGGGAAAAGAAGAAAGTGAAAAAATAGCACACTTTGGTCTGTATTTAAACACTATCAGTTCTTTCTCTGGAGGCAGATAGCATTTGTCATCAGAAGTCCTTTGGGATTGTCTTGGATCATTGTATTGCTGAGGATAGCTAAGTCATTCTCAGTGGCTCATCACACAATATTGCTGTTTCTGTGTACAATGTTCCCCTGGTTCTGCTCACTTCACTCCGCAACAGTTCATGTAAGTCTTTCCAGGTTTTTCTGAAATCATCCTATATTGAGCACCATTAAACACAAAAGGAAATAAAATGTAGCTAGGACATAGTCCCTATCTCATACAGTTGACAGTTTCACAGGAATATAAAGGATCTGGACAGGTCTAGCTGCTAGAACAAGGGATCCAATCTAACAAGACGAAATAGGGATAAGTAGAAAATCCTACACTTTGGTGAGAAAAAAACTGCCAAAGTGTAGGGTGAGGGTGATGAATATAGTTAGATAAGAGTCCCTGTGGAAAAAGACCCACAGGTGTTAGTGGACTGCAAGCTCAATAAGTCAACAGCATGAGGTAGACAAGAAAGCTAATAATAGAAGATATAATATAAGATGTGTCCGAATAGAAGCTTAGCACAGAGGGGAAGTGAGAGTCCTGCTGCCTTCTGACCTGGGCAGACCACATCTGGAGGCTTGTGGTTCAATCCTGGCCACATTTTAGGAAGTACATGGCTAAGTCAGAGCATGCCCACAAACGGCAACCATGATGGTGAGAGGAATAGAGACTGTGTCCCTTGAAGGGCCGGAGAATGTCTATGTCAAAAGAGGAGAGAAAAGACTTATAAGAGCTGTGACAGTGTTGTTGAAGTTGGGTCATCATATGTCATGATTTCTAGTCCTCTCATCATTCTGCTCAGCCTTATCTGGAGGTTCAATACTTTGTTAATGTCTCTTCTAGAACGCGGTACCCCCAAATGACCTCCATACCACAGTTGTGTTCAGAATGAAGCAGTCAACTGTAGAACGATTTTTAATAAAGAGCTAGCATTTATTTATATATGATTTACAGATATTACCTCATTTTATCTTCACAACAATCCTAGAAGACAGGTGCTATTATTAGAGTCATTTTATAGATGAGGAAACTGAGGCAGAGAGAGGTTAAGCAACTTGCCTAGGATAACACAACGTAAATTCAGGTCTAGACTCCGAGTCTAGCATTCTTATCCATTGTACCACCTTGCTGCAGAACCACTGCCTTTCTCTTTTGGGACATTCACATTATTGACAGATCTAGGATTTCATCATCATGGGCATTTCCTCCCATTTATGCAAGTTGCAGCCCTCTGCATCTTCTCATCCAATAGGGTTCTTGGTCATATTCACAGAGGATAGATCTTTTCAGAGTCCTGAAAGATATCCTCTAAATATTTGGGTTGTTGTTTTTTTTTTTTAATTCTAGAGGATATCACTGGACCTAACTCAACCTTTAAAAAATTTTTTTTTCTTGAATTCTTACTCAATGACCCTTGTGCTTGTTCTCAATAACGTTTTTATGCCACTTCTCACACCTCAGTTGTCACCAACTGTATTGCAGCCTTCTTCCCATCATGCACTTTTCCACCTTTGAGTCACTTGCTGTTTTTTTTTTTTACATTTGAGCATGGTGGACCATGACTCAAAGCCAGAGCATTATCACCAGGAAAAGACTTTGATATTCCAGCTATTGTATTCCTACTAATGACATATATCACATGCAACCCACATCTTCTCATCCTGTTGGACTCTGATCCCTGACCTTCCATAAGTCTTCCACAAGGTGTCCACCCAACTTGTTGGGGTCTTTCTTCTAGCTATGGTAACATCATATTGGTACCAACGCACCTTGCCATATTGCTTTTCTAAAAAGTTTGCACCAACATTAGCGCACTGTTGGAGCTATGAATTGGACCAGCCATTCTGAAAATCAATTTGAGACTCTGCCCCAAAAGTTACTAAACTTTGCGTATCTTTTGACCCAGAGATATCACTACTAGTCCTATAGTCAAAACAAGATCAAAGAAAAAGGAAAAGGATCCATATACAGAAAAATATTTATAACAGCATCTTTTGTCTTGGCAAATAACTGCAAACTAAGGGGATGACTATCTATTGGACAATGGCTGAATATATTAATTAGAGAGGAGTCTAATAGAATACTACTCTGCCATAATAAATGATGAAGAGATTAGCTTCAGAGAAATCTGAGAAGACAAGAATGAATTGATGCAGAGTAAAATAAGCCAAATCAGGAGGATAATTTAAGGATGTAAGAATTCTGATCAACAAGATGACCCACCATAATTCCAAAGGACTGATGATGAAGCATGGTACCCACCTTCTGACAGGAGGTGATGGACTCAGGGTGCAGAATGAAATATATATTTTCAGACATAGCAAATATGGGAATTTGTTTTGCTTGATTATACATATTTGTTACAGGGGTTTTGATATTTTTTTGCAATGGGAGTGGGAGGGAGACAAAACCAATTTTTGTTCATTGAAAAAATGATAGTAATAAATTATTTGCCCCAGTCTACAATTTTATCCACAGTGTGTGATAGCTTGTTTAATACTATTTTTGGTTGTTCAGTCATGTCTGACTCTTTGTGACCTCATTTGGGGTTTTTCAGCAGAGTAGTTTGCCACTTCCTTCTCCAGCTCATTTTACAGACAAAGTAACTTTCCCAGGATCCTACAGCTAGTAAGTATCTGAGGGCAGCTTTGAACTCAGGAAGGTGAGTCTTCCTGATTCCAGGCCTGGCACTCTATCCACTGTGCCACCCAGTTGCCCCTCTGTGTGACCTCTGGCAAATCACCTAACCTTGTTTGCCTCAGTTTCCTCATTTGTAAAATAAGAGGTTTAGACTAGATGATCACTGAGGTCCCTTCCAGCTCTAGATGTATAATCTTCTGATCTATCTTCATCTGAGATATGTAAATTATTTTAAATGTTTATCTTTTATCATAAGTGTTAACTTTACTTGTTAGAGTATAAATTCCTCTGGACAGCCAGATGGCACAGTGGCTACAGCACTGGCCCTCAAGTCAGGAGGACCTGAGTTCATATTCAGATTAAGACATTTAATAGCTGTGTGACCCTGGGCAAGTCACTTAATTCCGATTGTCTCCAAAAAAAATTAAGCTCCTTGAAGACAGAGATTGTCTTTTTTTTTTTTTGTATTTGTAACCATACTTAGCCCAATGCCTGGTATAGTAGGGGATTATATATATGTATATACATATATATATATATATATATACACACATATATATATATACATATATATATATAAAATATATACACATACATAGACACATATATTATTCCTTTTCATTCATTCATCTTGGTAACTTTCTCCATTATTCCTGTCTCTTTTATCTTAATTCTTATTTCCATAATGCCTTGATTTTTAAAAACTTTCTTCAAGTTCATCATTTATTTGATCTTATTTCCTTCCTTAATTCTTTATTATTTCCTTACTAATTCTCACTTAAGTTCTTTAATAGTCATTTACCCATGTCTTGGGGCATCCTGCCTCCTTTCTTTTCATTTGCATCATCCTTATACTTTAGCTAACTCAGTTTCTAAAATAAGGCTATTACCTGAATGCACAACTTACTCCTCAGGGTATCTGGTGAGAAAAGTATTTTATAGGCTCTTTGGAGAAGCAGCCCTGCTATCATGGGAAAAAATGCTGGATGTGGAGTCAGGAGACCTTTAGTTGAATCCAGGTACTGCCACCATGATCAACTAAGGAAAAATCACTGAACATCTCTGAGCCTTAGCTCCTGGATTTGTAAAATGAGGAGAATGATACTTGCAGGACCTACCTTTCAGGGGTGTTCAGAGGGAAGTGTTTTATAAGCCTGAGAGGGCTAAAAAAAATTAAAATTAAAAAAAAGCAAGATATATTCCTAAATAATCTTGAAATGCTCTATCAATTGCAATATCATTAACTCATAATGCCTCAAGAATATCTGGTTTTTCTTTCTTTTTAGATAATTTTAATTGATGTTTTCTATTTCTTATATCATGATAGTATCCCACTCTCTCCCCTTCTCCAAGAGCTGTCCTATATGACAAATAGCATTTTTTTAATTTCTTAAATTAAAAAAAAAGTCTGTAGAACTGATTGAGTATCTGATTTTTCAGTGAGTACTCCCTCTAGCAACTTGGATGAAAGACTGAAAAAGCACCCAAGGGCCTCTCTCCAGGCACTGAGCCAAACAAGTCCGAGTACAAACAAACAAGGTAGGCTCTGCCCTCAGTGCACTTACAACCTAAGGGTACTACAGTTGGAAAGAGAAGTGAAATGAGAGTACTCTGGTGGTGGCACCATGGTTTGGGAAGTGCTGTTGTGGGGGAAAATAAGGTCTAAGCTCACTCATTTGAGGCTTATTTTAGTCAGTTTTCACTTAATATTACAATTATTAGGCTAATTTTTTCTTCTATCCTTCTATCCTAAGGGAATGCACATTCCCAATGCCGCGGGTAGGAGAAATTGGGCCAGAGTGTGGACAGTATGGTTGGAAATGTCCCATAAATGGCATGGTAGCCTGGATCTGGGTAAGATAAGGTTATTTCCCACAGTTCTAGAAGGCAGAGTGCCAGTTTCAATGGGAAGAAGAAGAGGGTTAGTGCGCAGGTGGTATGATTTGAATATTACTAATTTGGTACACTTGCTGCAAAATTCATTATCTTGTGGCCAACCTGGTGATAAGATTGTCACAACTTATCAAGGCTCAGACAACAGACCTATAGAGCTACCAGAGCTGAAACTTGGCTGGAACAGCCTTAGAGAAGCCAGGGCCACCCACTGGACCAAATACAGGATTCAGAATAGGACTTTAGTGAAGGAAAAACATCAACAAGACTCTATCCCATAGTTCATTACCAATAATCCCACTTCTAATCTATATTCCCAGCTCCCCTGCAAAACTAAGTGGTTTCCTCCCCTCAACCTGAGTTTCTAATGCAGGAGGGTTCTTAACCTGGGGCCTGTGAAGGTGGCTTATTTATGTATTTATATCTTTATATTGATAATTAGGTATCAATACAGATAGATTGATAACTATCTCCATGTAATTGGTTCCTTGGCAATCCTAAGTAGTTTATTTTATGTGTTTAAAAACGATTCTGAGAGAGGGTCCATAGGCTACCAAAAGGATCCGTGACATAAAGAGCATTAAGAAGGCTTCCCGGCTCTCGTATTTCTCCTTAAACCCTGGTGTAGTAGTCCTTACAAAGTCCTGATCTTGCCTTCCAACTCCTCTCCTGGAGATCCTTCCTCTGCCCCTCCCAAGGTAATTCTCTGAGCCCAATCTGTTTTCACTGTCTCTTCAGAACCAACATCAGTATGATTAAAACCCATGCTTACATTTTTATGTTTTTGTCCATATTTAAAACCATCTTTACCTGCTTTGGCACACAGGTTTTCGATGGAACATGGAGATAAGTGGATATTTACAGTCAAAGTACATTAAAATTGATTCATATCTAGCCACTGAAATATTTATTAGGTGCCCACAATGTGCAAGACCCAGTGGTGTTTTTAAGCATGCAAATGTCTGTACAGATGAGCCAGGAAATGAGAGTCTAGTTCAGCTAATTTCCTGCGGGTGAGCAAACTGCTAAAGACCTGGGACTCAATAAAACCAGCTGGATGTATCCCTAGCATAGTTTGATCAAAAATTGTACCATTAAATCATTCTCTTGCATTTGATAGATCTACACACAAAAACCTCAACCCTTTAATTTTTCAGTGAAACATTTAAAATATGTTTTTATTCTACGGTCTTTAGGTGCACTGACTTGTCCTGGAATCACAGCAGTAATAAAGACTCAATAAAATGTTTTAATATGCCCATACATTTATAGAGCAATTTATGCTTTTGCAAGCCCTTACCCAGGCCTCTCCTTTGAGGTTCATAACAATCATGGAATGCTGGTCAATGCAAGTAATATCATCTCTACTTAGCAGAAGAGGAAACTGAGGCACAGAGAAGCTATATAGTTTTTCTAGGGTCATTCAATAGCAGAGGTAGTAGGACCAATGTGGTGCAAAGGAAGGCTGGATTTGGAATCAGAGGACCTGGGTTTTTTAAATGCTTGTCCAGCCGCCACATTACCTGTATGACCATGGGCAAGCCACTTACCCTGTCTGGGCCCCAGATTCCTCATTAGCGAAACAAAGGGGTTTGTTTGGATGGGATACCTTTCTAGCTCTAAATTTATGGTCTTATGAGCCCAGGTATCTATTTCTACTTAGTTTACTCATACTCAGTTCAGAGCCATCACACTCCTTTCTCGGCTGTCCAGATCTCAGTGGCCAAGATTTGCCTGACCACTGACCCTACCTCCTCACCCCCCTGCAGCACATGCTTGTCTTTTTACTGTAAGTCACTATATAAATGCCAACCACGACTACTCTTACTTCCTACTATCTCCCAAATTAGCCACAAAGTTTTCCGGACCAAGTCAGAACCTGTTCAACCAAGTCCCATCTGGAGAGCAGATACCAACCACAGACAATAGAGTTGATCATTTTCTTTATTCTAGCGATCAGGGCTTTCTACTGGTGAGGATCATAGCTTCAATCAATCAAGTATTTATTTGTTGTTGTTGAGTTATTTAAGTTCCTTTTCTTTCTCCAGTTCACTTTACAGGTAAGGAACTGATGCAAGTGCATTGTGAAGTGATTTGCCCAGGGTCACATGGCTAGTAAGTGTCTTAAGTCCAGATCCAAGCTCAGGAAGATGAATCTTCTTAACTCCAGGACCAGCGCTCTGTGCACTGTGGCTCTATCTAGGAGCCCTGAGTATTTATTAAGTGCCCACTATGTGTCAGGTATTGGGCTATACCCTGGTATATGTGAAACAACTAAAAAGAATGGGAGCAATTGTTTCAGCGGTTGTTTCAATGGTGGAGGAAGCAAGTACATATACAGCATAAATATAAAGTGAATGAGTACAATGAGTGTAAATATACCCAAAGTAAAATGAAGTTTGGGGGGGGGAGGGGAGATCAGGAAAGGCATCAGGCAGAAACTGATGCCTGAGCTGCCTCTTAAAGGAAGACAATGACTCTGTCATGCAGAGATAAGAAGGGACTTACTGAGCTCAGACAATAGAGCAGCCAGAGCTGGAACTTGGCTAGAACAGCTTTGGAGAAGCCAGGGCCACCTCCAGACCACGCTCAGGATTCAGAGTAGGACTTTGGTGAAGGAACAACAGTCACAAGAATCTACCCATAGCTTGTTATCAGTAATCACACTTCTAATCTCTATTCCCAGCTCCCCTTCAGAGCTAAGCTGTGTTCTCCCCTCAACCTGAGAGTCTAAAGCAGTGGTTCTTAACCTGGGTTCTGTGAAGGTGGTTTAACACACACACACACACACACACACACACACACACACACATAAGTGAGACTGGTAGCCAATGACAAAAGTTCCCAAATATTTCCTTTTTTTTAACAGTTATTTTAATAATTATACATATATATATAATATACACACATACATACAACATATACATATATGTATATATACATATATACACACACATATAAATACATACACATATTAGACAGACAAATGGATAACTGTATCATCACATAATTGGCCCGCTATTGGCCAGTATAAAGGCATGGTGGACTCAGAGGAGATGGTGCACTATGGGTGAAGAACAGAGAGAAGTCCAGATTGGCTGGATTGTGGAATGTAGGAAGGTGAGCAATTTTCAGTAAGGTTGCTGTATGAACTGACACAGAGTGAAGCGAGTAGAACAAGGAGAATAATACAACATTGTAAAGATAAACAACTATGGCAAACTTAGGAATTTTGATCAATGCAATGACCAACTATGATCTCAGAGGACTCATGATGAAATATATCACACATCTCCTGACAGAGAGGCGATACACACAGTTCAGAGACTTTTTTTTGACAGGGCCAATATGGGAATTTGTTTTGTTTGAGTATATATATATTCATAATAGGAGTTTGTTTTTCTTTTGTTTCCCCCAACCTCATTTTCAGAGGGCAGGGTAGGAGAAGGAAAGAAGAGGTTTTTCTGTTGATCAAAATAAATTTTTTACACAATTTTCAGTAAGGCTGAAAAGATAGGTTGGGACCAGGCTGGGAAGGACTTCAACAGCTAAAGACAGGAGTTTCTATTTTATTCTAGAGGCAGCAGGAAGCCACTGGAATTGATTGAGTAGAGGAGTCACACAGTCAGATCTGTGTTGAAGGAAAATTACTTTGGCAGCAGTATGTAAGACAGACTGCAATAGATGGGGACTACAGGCAAGAAAAGTATTAATCTAATATTCAACCTCATATAGGTATATAGATTTATCAGGATTTCAGGCTGCAGCTGGATTAGAGAGCTCACTATGTGGGGACTGACATGGATTCTTTACAAATCAAATATCACCCCAAGGCCCTATCTACACTTTTGTCTTATTGAATTTTATCAAATTGGATGTTACATGAAATTAGATGGTCACTGACTGGAAAAGGTTAGAGATTTTAAAAGAAATATTTGATCTGAGATTAAAAAAAAATAAATCTTCAGAAGATGATCTTTTGTTATCTTACACTATATATACTAGGTTATCTTTGTAAAATTTTTCTGTAGCATTATGTGCCTTGTGTGTTATAAATTCAATGACCCAGAGCAAGTTCTTAAAGGGAAAATAATATTATAAGAGGAAGGATTAAGTACTTCTCAAGGTTATTGCTATGTAAACTTGACTTGCTAAAGCTGTGCTTGCTATAAAGGTTGGGAGAAATGGTGACTTTTCAATGAAGAAATTTTCATAATTGTGTAGTTTAGATTGACGTGACATGGCCCATTATTAAAATAAAATACTGTTTAAACTGTTAAAAAATAAATATTTGGGAACTTTTGTCATTGACTACCAGTCTCCAAAGATTTAAGATTTGGGGTCCTCCAAAAGGCAATAGAGAAACTCATAGTGGGTATAAGTAGGCTACAACACCTTACCAATGATGAATCATGCAAGAGAAGTGGCCTAAAGGATGTCATTAGAGAGACACATGATTGGAAAACTGGAAAGATCCAGGGACAGCCAATGAACAGCCCATGCACTCCACTGGTATCAACTATCCATGCAATGTCATGAGATTTAGAGGAAGACCCCCATCATGTTGATTGGATACATTGAAGATGATTTATTGAAGGACATGGACAAGAGACATAGGATAAGAGGGCATGGATGAATTACTATCTGCATTGTTGGAGAGAGTACCTGTGACCATCAGACCTCAGATCCTATTGAAGCATCAAAGTATCCGAGAGAATTTCAGGGCATAATCCAGATAACATACAGGGGGACACAAAATGTTCTATAACACCTACACTTTCTACTTCACAAGATTATTTTAACAATCAAATGAGAAGCAGTAAGGGCACCTAATAATTTAAAAGCCCTCTATAAGTAGGAATTATCCCTGGAATTCAATTGTTCCTAGAAGACAGCATGCAGTAATAGAAAGACTGGAGGGTTTAGAGTCAGGAGATCTGAGATATGCCCCTCAGCTTCAATACTTGCTTGCTGCTGTACAATCCCCAATTCAATTTCCTCATCCATAAATATAGGGATAATAATACTCATACTGCTCTACCAAATAGTTGTGAAGAAACACAACTTGCAAACCTGCAAAATGCAAATCAATGTCACCATCCCCTTGCATCCTGGGTAGGTCTGGCTTGTTAGTGACAAGTATGTTAGAGGGGGAAAAAAATGCAGTCAACACACAGAGGTAAATTCTGGAAATGGTGTGGAAATGGTTCCACAAGATGTGATTTTAAATATCCAAACCCAGGAGAGAGGTTGAGTGGTAAAAACCCTTTGAACCCATAAAAAAAATAAACCTTTACATCCCCTTTCAGCTCAGGGCCCAGAAGGAGAAACAGGGGACTAGGGTTTAGAGAGCAGAGTTTAGTGCTTTTCTTTAGCAATAAATATCATTTCTCATCTCCAAGGGAAAGTTTCAGCCATGTGAAAGCAAAAACACCTACTCAGTGGGTTCTACAGCTCCAATTCTTCCTAAAGAGTCACCAAATTTCCCCAGGTGGTGTTTACATAATTTTATTTCCATATAGCAGATTAATCAACTTTTTTAGAGATGAGAGGGAAAAGACCTCAGCAATTCCATTGCTTCTTCAATAGCAAGCTTGGGTCTCAACTTTTCAGAAGAGCGATCTCTCTCCTAAGATGGATCAACCATTTACAAAGTTTTCTCTAAGCTTAACAAGAAGAAGGGGAAGTGAGGAGGGTTCTAACATGGCTTTCTCACAAGGCTCACGACAATTTTGGCTTTGGCATGACCCAGCCCAAACATGTGCATACATCTGGGACAGTTGTGATAACATGACTGCAATATACACAAGTCCTGCACACATCTGGCACAGGAGTAAGCCTGTGTTTGTTCCCATGGAAACAACAGCCAGGGCTTGCTCTGGAAATTACTTCCTTTGGGCTGCAATTTGTCCTTAGGTTAAAGATTTTTATGGTCTACATTTAACAACACAGATTGAATGTAATATTACACCTCAGTTTCTGGGAATCATAAAACCTCACACTGTCCCCAAAGTCTAGCTGCTAATGACATCCCAAGCCAGACTGGCTTCAGATGGAGAGTAGAGAGGGCGGTGTCCACAAATTCTCCAGCCTGAACTCCGCTCAGAGCAGGGTCATGTAATATTAGACTAATGCCTTTGACACAAGCCATCCCTTATGATGTCACTGCTCCTTGTTTCATTCCCAGGACACCTCTTACCAAGGGACCTGTAAGACTGGAATCTGAAGTCTTTAGGAGGAAATGGATCAAGAACAAAACATGGAAAAAATAAAGAAGGGTAGGAGTCATAGAGTGAAAACACGCAGATTGGGTTGGGGGGAGGGGAGAACTACTCCATCCCTGGCTACAGATCCAGCTTCACTTAATTAGCCTGGACAAGTTGGTATGTTTTGTAAGGGGGGTGGAGGGGAGAGAGACGGCTGATGGCTATTTATCTCTCTAGAAAGACACAACCATTCCCAAAAGGCCATTTCTTAACAAGTTTTCTTGATGGTCAATCCAGATACAATTCTTAGATCTCATACGGGACAGAATTCTAGACACTGCCTCAATAACACATTCGATATTGCTTATACTATCAGACACAATTAAGGCGATCAACTGCTTTCACCAAACTGTCTTGCTTTTTTCTTTTTTTAATCTATTACAAGGAATGGATCACTGAGGGAAGGGATATATTTGGAAAGAAAAATGATGTAAAACCAAAAAGATGTCAAAATGATATTTAAACAATACCAATATAATTGAGCCTTTGAAACTCTGGTCAAGTGAGGGAGGATAAGTCGCCTTGTCCTTGTTCCTCCATCTCAGAATGTTTCTCTACCTCCCTCTGAGAAAAGAAAAACAAAAACAATGACAAGGACTGTATGTTCTAAAGAAGGGTCCAAAATGGTCAGTTCCATTCCACAAATATTTATCGGGAATCTACTGTGTGCTGAGCTCAGTGAGGAATACAAAAGTGAGTGAAATACGCAGCTCCTGCCCTCAGGGGCTCATGGTTTAGTAAGGTAGTGAGAGACCAGATAATTATAATAAAAATCGAAGCTCTGCCACAAGATATTGTAAAAACAAAGCCTCATGGGGGTCCACAGGAAGGAGACAGAACTTCAGTTGGTAGGTAGGGAAGAGACCAGGAAAGGCATCAAGAAAGATGAAACATTGGAGAAGGGCCTTGAAGGATGAGTAGAATGTCAAAATGCAAAGATGAAGAGGAAGAATGCATTAGACCAGGGTTTCTTAAAACTTTTTCCACGCTCAACCTCTCAACGCTTCTTAAATAAAGGAAGCATAACCCCCACCCCCACCTCCAGTTCCAGCTTCTTCTTCGGCTTTTGTGTAGGACTCAGCAACTTCCTTTGAGACTTTCACCTAATGCAGGAGGACTTTCCTAATCCCTTCTACCTCCCTCCTCTAACTGCTCTCTTCTAAGTTTATCTTCCACCTACTCTGTATGTATATTGTATATAACTATTTATTCATATACATTTTACCTCTTAAAAAAAACTTAAAAGTTCTGGGGGCAAAAAATACTTGAAGCATGTGAGGAAACATCAAGCAGTACAATTTGACCGGAGTGTAGAATACATGTTAAGGAAAGTGGGAGATAAGGCTGAATAGATAGATTTGAGTCATATTTGGGGGATCCTTGCATGCCTAGTTGGTCAACAAGCATTTATTAAGTACTTATATATAAAACACTGTGTTAAGCACTGGGGGATAAAAAGAAAGCCCAATAAGCAAACAAATAAATAAAAATAAGTGAATAAATAAATGAATAAATAAAGCAGTCCCTGCTCTCAAGGGGTGTATAATCTAACAGGAGAGATAACATGTAAATATCTAGGTACACCCAAGATACATACAGTGTATATGAAGGTAATCTGAAAGGTGAAAACATTAGCAGGTGTGTGTGTGTGAGAATAACTGGACTTAGAGTGAGACACAGGAGAGCCATGGGAAATGATCAAAGCCGTGCGTGAGGAAAATTAATCTGATCAGAGATGTGCAGAATGAACTGGCAGGGGAGGAGGGGAAAGAGGGGGAGAGGAGGAGCTAATGCCTGAAGGTAGAGATGCCAAAGAGGATCAGGAATGAAAGTGAGGGGACAGACTGAGGAGAAGCCATGGAGCAGATTGGATGTGGGATACAAATGAGATGGAAAAGTGAAAGATGGCTCCAAGAATATTTCTATGTCCTGAAAAACAATGAATATGAAGAATTCAGAAAAGCATGAGAAGACTTAAATGAAAAGACATGGAATGAAATAAGAAGCTGGAGGAGGACACAGGGTCATAGAACCACCAGTTTGGAGCTGGAAAAGACCTCAAGTTCGACCTCATTATTTTACAGGTAAGGAAACTGAGGTCCAAAGTGGTGAATTCATTAACTTGCCCAATATCACATAGGTAATAAATATCAGAAATGGGATTTGAACCCAAGCCCTTTGAAGTAAGTGCTCCTGACACTGAATCTTTACATGGTCACTACAACAAAGTAAAGGGAAAGGATAAGAAGAACAAAAAAAATATATAAATCAACTGAAAGCTGTGTAATCATAATGATCAAACCTGACCCAGAAGAAGAGATGAGAAAATGCCCACCCTCCCTTCTTTGGGGAGGGAGGGAGGGTAGTGGGGAGGATGGGAAAATGTGGAGAAGGTGGCAGTGGTGGGGGGGGCAGCTATGGACGTGGAGCATTGCAGAGACTATTTAGACTTCATAGACGTGTTGGTTAGCTTTCCTGAACTACCTTTCTCTCTTTGAAAATCTTTTTTGTTTTAAGGGATGGCTTAGGTATATATTTGGAAATGAGAGTCTTGAGGAGATACTGGTCAGGGCAGGGAAAGACAGCTCAGTTTTAGACAAAAAATCCTAGCTTAAATCCGAGCTGAAAGGGACTTTCAAACAAACTTATCCAGTCATCTAATTTATCTTCCCTCTTGTTTTACAGATGAAGAAACTGAGGTCCAGGATTCAAATCCTGGCCCTTTCACTCTCGATCCATTCCTGTTCTACTGAATGACACTGCCTCTCTGTGTTGGATTTTAGGTGCAAGTGACACATCCAGGGAGATGAATCCATTGGACATTCAGAAATAAGGAGCTCAAACCTATCTCTTTCCAGAAAATATAATCTCCTTGAGGGCAGGGACTATTTTATTTTTGTCTTTAAATCTCCAGTGCCTAGCCCAATATTTGCACATAGTAGGTGCTTAATAAATGGTGGTTGTTGAAATTGTTCAAAATAAAATAAATATTTGTTGAGTAAAACAAAATAGTGGTTGAGATAACCATGGTTAAATGGAAAGAACACTGGAATTCAGGGGACCTGAGTTTGAAATCCAGGTCTATTTTTCACTTCTGAGTGACTTTGAACAAATCACTTTATATCTCCGAGTCTCAATTTCCTCATTTGTAAAATGAGAGAGTAGAAAAGGAAGTTGACTAATGAATAATTATAATACTCAACCTTGGCTTGGCAAAGAGATGAAGAATAATTCCCCCCTTTCAGTAAACGGGTAGGGGATCACACAGGTTCAGCAAGTTTCATACAAAGGCGGTCATTGTGTTAATTCTACTTAACTGTTTTTCCTTGTTATTAGGGAATCAGTAGGGCAGCTAGGTGGTACAGCGGATAGAGTGCTGGACCTGGAGTCAAGAAGACTCATATTCCTGAGGTCAAATCTGCCTCAGCTGTGTGACCCTGGGCAAGTCACTTCACCCTTTTTGCCTCAGTTCCTCATCTATAAAATGAGCTAGAGAAGAAAATGGCAAACCATATGGTATCTTTGCCAAGAAAACCCCAAATGGGCTCATGAAGACTTAGATATGACTAAAATGAGTCAACAACAGCAAACAGGCATCAGTCAATAAACATTTATGAAGTACCCACTGTATGCCAGGCACTGTGCTAAGTGTTAGGGACATAAAGAAAGGCAAAACATAGCTCTGTTCTCAAGAAATTCACTGTTTAATGGTGGGGACAACATGTTAACATTATGTACAAAGAAGACATAGAAAGGATAAATCAGTGAGTATTCAACACAGCGGTGGCCCTAGAATTAAGGGACATCAGAAAAGGCTTTCTGCAGAAGGTGGAATCTTAGCTGTGACTTGAGGGCAGCAAAGAGACATAGATAAGGAGGGAGAGAATTCTAGGTATGGGGACAGCCAGTGAAAGTGCTCAGAATCAAAGATGGAGAGTTTTAGGGAGGAACAGCAAGGAGGTCAATTTTACTGAACTGAATGTCGGATGTAAGTAGGATGTAAGGTGTACGAAGAATGGAAAGATAGGGGGATGGGGATGGTAGCAGATTATAAAAGGCTTTAAGCACCAAATGGACAATTTTATATTTGATCCTGAATGTGATAGGGAGCCACTGAAGTCTATTGAGGGGGGATGATGACAAGGAAGGACATTTGACTGGAGTTTGAAAAGCAGGAGAAAGATCTCCATAAATAAAAAATGACTGTGATAGAAAAAGAAAAGGTGTTAATAACTTCCATAACTTATTTTAAAACAAAATAAAGTGAAGGAGTTGGATTACATGATCAAAGAGATGAAGTCATTTGCCCAAGGTTATACAGATAATAAATGTCAGAGACCGGATTTGAACCCCAAACCTCTGACTGGAGACTAGGGCTCTTGCTATTATACCTGCACACAGTAATTACAACAATGCAAAAGAGGAGATGGGGGAAAAACTTGAAAGCTGCGATATTATAATGATCAAACAACCCAGCTCTAGCACTGAGTCTGTGATTGATCTTCTAGGATTGAACAACCTTCAGAATCTCACTAATCACTTAGAAGTCATCTGCACAGAGGCGTGGGAATGAATTGAAATAGCAACAATCTCAATTTCTGTAGTTCTTTTTCTTTTTTAAAATTAATTTATTTTCAACTTAAATGCTAAAACTTAAATAGACAATAAGAAAAGAAAAAGAAATGTATTATAAACTTAAGTACTAAAACAAATACAAAATAGGAAAAGAAAAAAGCTTTGCCACACGCACAGCAGAACGTAAGAGAGGATTTAAAATATACAGCAGTAGATTTCCATTTCAAAAAAAGCCTATATAATAATACTTCACACTGTGTTCTGAGCTGTCCATCTTTTCTTTGCTTCCTTGTAAGTTTTCTTTTGTTCTCTGCTGTGCACTTTTTACTTTGTTCTTGGTTTTTCCCCCTTTCCCTACCCCAGAGGACTACAATTAAGTGCGAATATGTTTATCTATATCTATATATGTACATATATACACATACATACAT